GAAGTGCGACAGGAGTAAGCGGAGTTGCGCCAATGGCTCGTTGGTACAGTTCAGGCGAGCGACGGGGATTCAGGAGGGTCAATGGCGGCTCGGTGGTGCGGAATGTCGGAATGGACGTGGTTGGGAGCTGTCGGACAGTTTTCTCGGACGAAGCTCGAGCGGAAAGCGGCCGGACATCACGTCAGTCACGTGAATGCGAAGCTGCAGCGCGTCTTCCGATTGCCCTCAGATCACTTTGTAGTTTGTACACGCACTCTTGCTTCCACCCACACAACATCATGTCATCACTGCAGAGTCGGAAGGACGAGATTGCGGCGAAGAGGACCAAGCTTGCAGAGCTCAAGCGACAGCGTGAACTACGAGCCAAGGACGTGAGCAGCAGCCGGCAGAGCATTGGCGATGCCTCTGAGGTACGCAGTGATATCCATACTGTAGCGTGCACTCCAACACTGACTGACCGCCTAGCTAGCCCAAGCATCGCCTCTGCGAAATCGCCCCACGCAGTCGAAAGCGGACATTGATCAGCTGATCTCCTCCCTCATCCCCGAGAGACCTTCGTCCGCTGCGGGCCCGCGCACACCAGCGAGAAGTCCCGCTAAGAGGGTCAGCGGCGGCGATAGAGCGACCGAAGATGGTAGACAGTACCAGGATGCAGGCACCGAGACTCAGACCTTGGCATTCGCCGAGTTCCAGACGGTGTATGAAATCCCGGTGGAGACCAAGCCCGAGGTGATCACGTACAGCAAAGGCGTGCAAACTTCGGAGCCGTGGGAGTACGATAGTGGGGATGGAGCTTTCGTGAACGAGGCGGACGGCATTGCGCAAGATCCGAGCAGACGACGCAGACGGAAATTGAGCGGGCGTGGAAGGGAGCTTGAGGAGGAAGCAATACGACAGCGGCTGCGGCAGGAGATTGAAGAGGAGCTTCGTGCTGTGAAACTGGACGAGCCTCTCGAACCGGACAAGGAGCGCTTTCCGGTCCGCGCCTTGGCGCCCGACGAGCTCAATGCGGTCACAAGCAGCAACGACTTCCTGGACTTCGTTGAGCGGAGTAGCAAAGTCATCGAGCGCGCGCTGGACGAGGAGTACGATCTTTTGTCCGACTACGCTCAGCAATCGCGCAATGCCGAAGAAGACGCGGACGAGTACGTTGGTCGCCGTGGCCGGCGCATAAAGGAAATCGCGTATTTCCCGCTCACGGAAGCCATGGGCGCCAAACGTATGCTCTCGACTCTGGACTTCTCTCACAAATTCCCAGAGTTGCTCTGTACAGCCTACACCAAGTCTCAAGCCTCACCTCACACGCCACCTGGCCTACTCAATGTATGGAACCTCCACCTCAAAGGCCGACCCGAATACAGCCTCCACGCCACCTCAGACCTTCTCTCCTGCCTATGGCACCCACACCACCCCTCGCTCATCCTAGGAGGGACCTACAGCGGCCAGCTCTGTCTCTGGGACAGCCGCGCCCGACACCAACGCACCGGCGAGCCCGTCCAGAAAACCCCTCTCACAGGCGGCCGTACGGGACACGCCCACCCCATCTACAGCCTCGCCGTCGTCGGCACCCAGAACGCCAACTCCATCATCTCCGTCTCGACCGACGGCGTCGTGTGCGCGTGGAGCGCGGATATGTTGACCGTGCCGCAGGAGTACCTCGAGCTGCAGAGCCCGAACAAAAGCGCGTACAAGACTGATGACGTCGCACCGACATGCATCTCGTTCCCGGCGAGCGATCCGACGTACTTTCTCGCCGGCACAGAGCAAGGCTCCATCCTGCCAGTGCATAGGTACGACCGCGCGGGCGCGAAAGCGGGCGTGGACGCGCGGACGAGCTACGCAGGGCACATGGCGCCTGTGACGGCGCTGGACTTCCATCCGGCACGCGGCAAAGTCGATTTAGGCGATTTGTTCGTGAGCGCGGGAATGGATTGGAGCGTGAAAGTATGGCGGGCGAAAGCTGGAGCTGGTGCTTCATCTGCGACCTCGACGATCTCTAGCGGACAAGCAGATGCCCCGCCGGAGCCTGTCAAGCCATTGCTTGAGATTCAGCGGGAGGATACGGTCTACGATGTACGGTGGTCGCCTACCCGGCCGTCGGTCTTCGGGTGTGTGGATGGGGGTGGCGTGCTCGATATATACGACTTGCTGGTCTCTACTGAAGTGCCTGTGGCGAGCGCCAGGCCGGGCGAGAGTAGCGTGGCTTCCGGTGGGGTACAGGAGAGGAGGGATGCGTTCGGGCTGAAGTCGTTGAACAAGCTGGCGTGGGAGAAGCAGTCCGGGAAGCATGTTGCCGTTGGGGGGTTGGACGGGGTGGCGACAGTCTTCGAGGTTGGGCGGGAAATTGGTGGGGCGGAGACGAGGGCGGATGCTTGGATGGGGTTGCGGAAGTGGGTGGGTAGACAGGGGAGGGGGTTGTGATGTGTACGCCGACGAGGCTGGCTGGGCTGGCTTGCGTATGCTGCGCGCTGGAAATGGCAGGTCCTTCGTCCTTTACTCGATGCCGCCAAGCCGTTCACTCCGATGGACCGTACCCAAGTGTAACATCGATACCACTGTGCCCGAGTCACCTTCTATCCCTGCTTGGCGGACGTCGTGCCAAGCGAGCTTCACTTACCGAGCCTTTCGGACTGGCCGAACCACGTCTTCACTAGGCCAAGTCTCATTCACCTCGACAGGCACTTGTGCGGATTCTTCTTGTCTCAACAACGTTGGCCGTGCAGCTTTCCCTGTCGTCGCCGCTCCCCGCCCCAAGCCGTGACCGTACCAAATCAATCGCGGATGAACTCGGAGTGCGCCTGCAGCTTGTTCTCGCCCGCGCCAAGCACTCACTTGAAGTCGAGAGCGACAGGGTTGAAGTACTCGTACTTCTGCGCAGCGTGTGTGGTCGACTGGTTGGCCAATAATGCAGGGCCGGCGTGTCGAGTACTCGGGCGGGCCTGCAGCGGGCAGACGGTTCGTGCATATGCAAGCCATCCGTCAGATCCACCGAGCATATGTACATGTAGATGTTTGACCTCGCCTGGTACATGTAGTGACTTGCATGTGAAAGTCATACCTCCGTTGGCTTGGGACACTTGATAAGGGCAGCGAGGATGGCAACGTTGGGTGACTTCCAGCCTGTCGTTGTCAAGAGACTCCTAAAGCTGATTTGCCGAACAGAGCATTGCCGCTGTTCTGAGCGCTGAACAATACTGAGGCGGATCGATCACATGTCAACCCAAGACTTTCAGCATGCGGAACAGTAAGGCTTTTGCCGCCGCCAGCAAGAAGTATTCCCCGTATTCGGGGCGACTCGTGCCTTCGACGCTGATAAGCATTCGTCGTAGAATGGAAACGACCGATGGCGTGCAGCCCGCCAAGAACGTGCTCCCATGCCCTTCGTAGACCCATGCACGGTTCATCAAGACCGCATGGAATATAAGCGTGTCGACAGGCGCCACTGCTGCAGGTGTGCGGGCCCGAGAAGGGAAGGATGCGTTGGATACGGAGAATTTTGACTTCACGTACATGTACCTTCGGTAGCTCTCGGCGTTTGATGGTGTACATAGGTACATGTACTGTGCACTGGTCGGCGAGCTGTCTGTTGGCTGACCTGCAACACGGCTGTGGACATTGTGAAGATTGAGCAGAAGATCAGCTTCCGACCTCCTGTGCTGCAGTAAGATCGCACAGGGCACGATTTCAAGTTTGGATCAGCCTGCAGTCGAAGCTGCTCGAGTACAGCCAGGTTCGCTCTCCAAGTATCTTGGCTCTCGTATTCGAACAACGAGGCAACGGAGGATGAGGTGATGTCAAGAATGGTGTCCACTCGGCAACCAAACCGAAGCTTGAGGTGATGGCGTGATCACATGCTAGCGGCGTACGATGACAGTGCAATCGCTATCGCGAAGTCGTCTGGTTGATGGGTACTGTGGTCTCACACGCGCCTCAGCAGCGTCTCAGGGAATATGCCATTGGTCATTCCACAAGAGCGTGTGGAGTGAGTTCGTGGCGCGCAGAAGAACCACTGATTGCGTGTGCGTTTCACGTCTTCTGTGGAGCATCATCACATGCTGATGAAGCAACGAGTCTGTACCCTGGCTCAATCAGTCCGGAGGCCATGGTC